AAAAAGATTTGCACTGAGGTGCTTAGGCACGACATTAGGCTTTTGCAACTCACCTTTGACATGACCTTGGCTTGGAGAGTTTGAGGTCGAAGACAAACCTTGTAGGGTAGGCATAGATAGGAGTGATTTTCTGTCACTCACTAGTTTTAAGTGGGGTGCTTGTATGTTTGGTGACTTTGGTCCTTTGTGTGTGCTGTTAGCTTTTTCCATGCTCTCATATTTTGTTTTCCTTTTCTTTTACAAGTTGGACCATAGTCACAGAATTCGCTCCCAGAGCCGCGACTTCCGTATTGGTACGATTCGTACCCAATCGCAAGTCGCTTGCGATCCGATCGCAACCGGTACGGCGATCCAAATCGCGATGGTACAGCGCTCCCAATCGCGATGGTACGGCGATCCCAATCGCGATGGTACGGCGATCCCAATCGCGATGGTACGGCGATCCAAATACCCAGGTACATCGCACCCATCGCCGGTGGTACAGCATACCAGTGGCGACTTCCTCGACTTCCTCCTCCGAGCAAAGCAACCTCGACTTCCTCTTCCCACTTTGCCTCTTTCCCTTTTCAACGATTTCTCTTTCCCAAGTCTTTGTAAATTGAATATGTTCCACTTCCCAGGCATGTTCCACATTCCCAATTAAATATTTCTCTTTCCCATTCTCATCATTTAATATTTAATTTAAAATTCAATTCACAATTAAATATTATACTTATTTTTATCTATTTTTGTTTACTTATGTTTTCACTTTTGGTACGCCGAACCGAATACATGGTACACTGTACCGCTTCGTACCGCTTCGTACCGAAATGAACCTACCCCCTTTCGTACCGAATTCGTTACCTCTAGCGAATTTCATACCCGTACCGCGTACCCGTACCGAAACGTACCGCGATTTATGTGACTATGAGTTGGACATCAACAACTATGTCATTTGTTTTTAAGGTGGGGTCTTTCAGAAATAGTCTCTCTACCACCTTTTTTGGTATGGGGCTAAGGATTGCATACACCCCCACCCCACCTAACTGTTTGGGAATTTATTGGGCAAGTTGTTGTTTCACTCCCTCTGGCCGAATGTATTTGTTCACTTTACTTTCTTGGGGTCAAATTTTACAAAACTTGACCCAGTAACAACATTAAAATATACATTGAACTATCATAAGATCTAAGTTTTTTAAGACGCGAAACATTTTCAATCAATCTTTTTTTCATAATGTTTCCTTATTACTCCGTACTCCGTATTATGTAAGACCATAAGCGTCAAACATTCATCTAGGAAACCGTGAAAAAGAATGGTGGACATTAACAAAAATGTCCTCATTTTGCTCCATTTTTTCTTAACCTTAGATAGGAACGTTTGTAAACCTATAATTAGAGTACTTGGGTAGATTTTTGGGCCTTGGTTTGTTGTGTACGATGAAGTGTAACTTGTGTCTGTTCTTGTTTACTTCATGCTAATGTGTTTCCTTTGTTCGTACTATCGTGCTCAAGATGGGGTTCTGAAGGAAACTACCTCTCTACACACATTACTGTCGTGGGATTTTACTGGATTAGTTGTATCTTTTGTTGAGATTCTAATTGTGTTGACTTGTTTGTATTTTCAACCTCAGGGCATGAAGCTCCTCGTGGTTTCAGATTGTTATCTAGGGTTTGAACAAGAACATTCCATCAATGAATTTCCTTAATTTTCCAGAATGAGCAACCAGTTAAGGCGGCTGTCAGGAGTGCCCCACAGGTATCCAAAGGAAGAAAAATTCTGAAATTCATTATTGAAAGACAGAAGTATCCCACCTAAAAGAAGAAGCTTGCAAAAGTAATGAGGGATATTTTTGCCTTTCAGCGTGAAATTTGGTGCCATAAAAAGCTTTGGAGTGTCAATATCATTCCCCTTCATGAGCGATACTCCTTCCATCCAAGAATTTTCTTCCCGCTTTTTTATGCCAAAGAAGTTTCCCTTAAATGTCAAATTTACCCTTCAATTTTTAATGGTCAGCTATCAAATCATCAGTATCTCATCTATACTATTCACTTTACCTAACACTATTAGACCAAGGGTAAAAACGGAAAGTCAATGTTTTTTTCATCTCTCATTAATATATGTGTCGAGTCAAACCGGGAAGAAAATTCTTAGACAATGGGAGTAGATTCTTTTTTGGAGTAAAACTTCACATACCCACACACACCCATATAACTCCCTCACACACACCATCCATCCGAACACATCTGATGTAGGATCCCATTGCCATAAAGGGCTTGTTTTTGTTCTCAAGTATTAAGAGAGAATAGTTTCTCAGAATCACAATCTTTCTTTAATGCAGTGCCAAAGATACATACTTTTGACTGAAGAAACAAAAGGGTGTCTCAAGGACAACACCAAGCAAAAATAGAGATGGGACAACCTTAACATCACTACTACTAGTTAGTTGGGAAGTGAAGAAAATTTACTGAGTTAGGGAACAAAAAGTCATTATTCTAATAATCATATTCAAGTGTTAAATGGTTTTTCAATGGTCTGTGTTGTGAACAAAAAATCATATTCAAGCTATAAATGTTTTATCAAGATATCCTGTTTTCACTATGTTCAGGCAATTATGCAATAAGTTAAAAAATGGTTGTGATTCTAAATCCACCCCTATTTGGCTTAATGCACACCAGGTATAAGAAATGGATAATTTTGTACTTTCATTTCATTTTTTTCCATTTTTTGAACTTTAAAAGGTACTCCGTAAAATTGTTTCTTTGATACAAAAAGGGGTAGATATAGTGAAATAAGGTGTAGATTTAGCAACAACCTAAAGTAATATTGTCGGTCCCTCATAGATCTTCCCAATAGTCCTTTTTCTTTGTCCACAATAGATCTTCTCATTTCATTTTTTAACAATTAAAATACCACAATTACCCCCACTTACTTTATTTATTACACCTCACCCACTTCATTTAATACGCTCCGCCCATTTTCATTAAGGGTATTATGGTAAAGTTTCATCTTTTTCCAACTCTCTTTAAAAACCACCAAAAGTCAAAATGAGAACATCTTAGGGGGACGGAGGGAGTATTATTTATAGAAATTAATTTGTATTACTTTGAAAAATACGTCGCTATTCAACATTTATGTGTCTTGGAAGATTTTTTTGTTGATTTTTTGAAGTTGAAGGACTAATTATATAACTTCAAGGATTAATGTTGCAATTAACTTTGACTTTATATTTATTCGGTGAAGGGACTGACGTATTGAAAGCCACGTGTCTCTCAGGTTAAGTTTGATGGTGACCCCTTCATGGGTGATTCCTCCAACGTAAATAAGCTAACATTACCGTTTATGATATTTTATTGAAATTAATTTCAATTCAATTTATTTTAATATTTGTAAGAATTTTAAAATAAATTCAATACACTCTTTCGTCATAATTTTCTTCACGAAATTCAAGAAAAAGTGATACGAAATTTTATATCTATTTTGATTTACCATGTTTGTTCGAAATTATTTTCAAATAATTTTATATGAAAAATGGTATGAAATTAAAAAAATAAAAATTACATATTAAAATATTACATCAAAAAATTTACAAATCTAGTCTGACATGACTATTTTATTTTATCAAATGACTAATAAAAATAGCAAAAGAAAGTGAATAAAATTTATCTCTGAGAATAGTAAATCGATAATTTAATTTGAAACTGGTAATAATCCGTATGAAAAGAAGAACAAATTTCTTTATGGCCACTTAATTTCTTTTTAAAATGAAATGTTTATTTTTAGACAAGAAAATTGAGAAATTTATTTTGGAACGAAAAAAGTTTTAAAATATTACACCAAGAGTTTTATAATAAAAAAAAAGAGATGATATGAATATACGGAGTATTATTTTATCTAATGAATAATGAAAGTAATAAATAAATTAAAAAAATTTATTCATACAAATAATAAATATAAAATCTTTTTGGGACTAGGAAATTAGAAATTCCGACCGGTGAATGCTAATTTGGCGTTCAAGCTTATCCTACATGGCTTTTACTTGGGTTTTTCTTTGTTAAGAGTACTATTCTTGACCAATTTTGATTTTTTCAGTCAACTATTTTCAACTTTTAACCTATAATTAAATACTCCGTAATATATATTGTATATTAATTAGATAAAATAATATTTTAAAACATTTGATATAATAAACTTACCACTATCTAATTTTTTTTATTTAATTTGAGGTCAAATTCTATCAATTTTGACAAAAAAGTTAAAAGTAGACAAATAATCAGGACGGAAGGAGTATTTGAATGTGAAAAGAAAAAATGAGAGAAAATATCTTTCTTGATTGATTTGTGAGAAAAAGTAAGAAAAAGATAATTTCATTAAAAAATGCACTAAGAAAATTATATTCCTTTTTTTTGGTGAAAAAAAAGAGAAACATATCTTTGTATTTTTTCTGTTCGAATTCCACGTCCCAATTTTCATTCAATAAATAATGTTGTCCTCTTATTCATGTTTCTTGTCGAGTGGTTCTCATCATTCTAAATCTGTTTTCCACTCTACTGTATATTTTCTGTTATGGGAAAAAATATTCACTACTTTTTGTCTGCCTAAGAAAATTCATTTTTTTTAATGAAGATATGACTCTTCTAAAGGCCTTGCAAAACTTTACCATTTACCTTTAGTTTGCTTAGAGGATAACATTTAGTTTCAACGCTATCAAAATTAAGTTATAAAATTAAAAAATTATTCAAAACACTAAAATACTAATTAAAAATGATGTTCCCAAATAAGGCCCAACATTCCGTCCTTAGACCATACATGCACCAATTTACTCATTTATAAGTACGCTAATCACTCATTTTAAAGTAAAGTAGCTTCATTCTCGTATAAAACATAAATGTTCATTTTAGTATAACGTAGTATTCATTCTCAAATAATGTATTACTCATTTTCACATATTTGTTCAATACAATTCTAATTTTCATTTACGAATTACATAGAGTTCATCCCGAAACAAAGTTGTACTCATCCTCAAATAGATTAGTGTTTATTCTCAATTATCTTATTGTTCATTCTACGTTTAATTCCACGTTTGAGTCTTAAAGTTGGAACCCTTCTTTACCTTCTGCATGAAACACTCAAATTAGCGGATCTATGTTTCTACATCTGCGACTTCTGCCTCCACATAGGTTTTCGCGGCCACCATCACCTTCTTTGCTGCCCCCCTGGCGTCGTCATCGATCTGGTGCACTGCCCTATCTCCGATCCAATATTGCTGCTTCTCCTTTGGCTTAACATTTCGTTTTGCCAACCGTACCCAACTTTGGGTATTTGTATAAACTAATTTGCGGGCAAATCATATTATCTATTGCCAAACCCGATAAACATTAGTGTGTTTTGTTAAATGTGCCAATTCGACATTCATAATTCCCCACAAGTCTTTCTCCTCCCTCATATGAGCGCGAATGTATGTATGTGTTCTGGATGGTATATAATTCTCCCTCTCGTGACTCGTCTCATACATAACTAAAGGCACTATGGATTAAGATGGTTCGCTGAATTCATTTTCAATTCGAAATATATAAATGATGGCATAAAGTTTTAAAATACTTCATCCTGAATTACTTGTCCCAGTTTGACTTCACAAATTTAACAAGTACTGAAAAATAAAGTGAGTGATTGAAATTTGATTAAAGAAAAAAGAAATTTGTGACCACGTATTCTTTATTTAAAAAAGTAAAGAAGTGAGACAACTATTTTGGAACACACTAAAAAGAAAAGTGAACACGATTTATTTGGGAATTGGGATGTAGGTAGTATATCTTGTCCACACTTTCCACTTTTCAACAACTTCCTTGTAAATCCCATGAAGTCAAACCGTTATTTTTAGGACCGAGGGAGTATGCAAACACTAGTACTCTATAAAACAAGAAAGGACATGAACTATGTTATTTTAACAAATGACTCGTGAAAATGAGCATTAAAAAAAAGAAAAGAAAAAATAGACCAACAAGTAACAAGAAATTCTTCAACGTTAGTAATAATATTGTTGTGGATTGTCACATCTAGAGTCTGTAACTGTTGTTTCAACTTTCTTGTTCATGGTTGACAAAAATAACCCTAGCCAGAAGTTCCCAACTATTTTAAACCTCTCGTGTGTTCAAAGTTTTTGCTGCACATTGTGTGTGTGTGTGTATATATATATTTCCACCCTTAATTCCTAAGTTAGTATCTACTAGTAGCATCAAACACACAAAAAGTTTAAGCCAGGAGAATACCTTTTGTTCTTGCTGCTTCCTTTACCAGCTCTCCAGTACCCGTAGATACGTCCGCGTATGATCTCCAAAGCTTCAACGAGAATGGGTGTATGGACAAGGCCCTCTTGTGAAAGCTAGCAGTTATTGCCTTGCAGCTTTTCATGCCGCACAGAAGATCCGCGGCTTCCACCCAGACATGCTCCGGCGCAATGGGGACCGCTTGGAAGAGCGTGTTCGATAAGTTGGAGCCCGTCCAGAAGGAGACGCTGGCGGGTAAGCTGGAGGCGGCATTGCATACCCACTTGCAGACTGAAATGGCCAAGGGATAGTTTGATGGAAGCATTTCCATCAGGCTCTCGACCAAATCAACCGTATCGGTCAGGTTGTGGGTGGTGCTTGGGAGGAGAGATGGGCCGAAGAATGATTCCAGGACAGAGTTAATCAGGGTGGGGTCGGTGGGGACGGGAGTCAATAGCTTCCTTGCCAGTTGCTGGAGCCTGGGTTTCTGGATGTTTTGGATGAAGTTTTGGGTCAACGGTTCAGATCGAGATGAAGCTCGGGTATCAAACAGGAAGCCTTTCAGAACGTGTAAAGCACTTCTGTCTGCCGATGTAGTCATCAGAAACATGATATTCTCCTGAACACAGTGATTGTAAGTCTCAGTGTTATCCGCGGCGTCCAATGCTTTGTCTAAAGCCAGACGAGCTCCGGTCAGATCGTTTTGCAGCAGTAGCTTGTACAAAGCGCAATTGAGTAACCCGAACACGATTTCGGTCTGGGTAGAACCTGACAGCCAAGAATGAACATCCATGACCGAAGCTGATTTGGGCAAATCAATGGACCGGAACCATCTGTCCATTAATTCCCTCACGAGATCCAATCTCCCGTCTCGGAATGCACACTCAGCATACTGATTCCAAACACACTGAATCCCGGGAACATCATCCATCCAGCTGTCTAAAGCTTCTTCAAACCCTTCGTAACTTAAATCCCGGAACTCGTGTTCTACCCTAGCTGACATTAAAACAAGTTCCAAACAAGACGGGTAAAGCTTTATATATCTCCCCAGAAGGTTCCTGCTACACTCGATGCCTTCAATAACTGAAACAAACTTGACGTGATTCAGAGCAAAGAGGTGTGCTGCTCTTAGATTTGATTCAACTTCAAGAGACTCCCTATCGATATACGACGCTAATGAATCTACAGCCAATTCCATCAGGGAGAGAACTTGCTGCTTCTCATCTGTTTTTAACTGAGCGGGTGGCCACTCTATGGAAGAAAGCTCTTTCTGGGATTCAAACTGTTTTACTATAGAATTCGGCAATCGTTTATACACAACCATGTAGACACAACATACCCAGAAAACACATTTATTGGAAATTGTTAAGCATGGAATTATATCAGGGAGGAACAACTTATCTTGTGGAGGACTGTCAGATTTGTCTGGTGTCTGAAAGAGATCGCAGATCCTCTCAATTGCTTTTCCAACATTTCCAGACATAGATAGAAAATTCAGCATCTGGAGAATGAGGTCCAAGATGCATTCGCTGGCAAAAAGGGCATCTTGGTTTGGAGCGGGCGCATGACGGGATAGTGCAGATATTGCAGCATCATATGCAGTCAACCGCTGATCGAGTGTTTCCCGACTATTGATGTATAATACCCAAAGTTCATATGATTTCTTGTTGTGATCCACCTGTGAGCAGAACTTCAGACAAAAGTCAAATTGAGTGATAAACCACTCTTTAGGGAAAGAGCGATTCTAGGGAGACATGAAAATGTGGCACTCTTATATAGCACACACTCATTGCGTGATGATCACGTGACCAACCAGATCATCGAATGAATGTGACGCGTAGGAAAGTGACTTAGAATGTCTAATTTTCATGTCTCTAGTGGGTTTTGTTATTTTTGTCATAGATTTATATTCCCTTCCTCCCAAATTACATGGCCCCTTCCAGATCCACGCTCTCGCTAAGGATCAAACCTCATTTGCAGTCATGTCCCCACAGGACTATCTGAATAAGTATTCACTACTTAGTTGGCAGATTTGGATGAAATATCAAAGAGTGCTACCCGACCTCCCAGGCTCCCACCCAAGAGGTCTCTCCAAACCAATTTATTTGTCCTGTGTACTATAATTATTAACTTAACTCTACTTTTTGGTAAATGACATGTCAAACTCTTACTAAATTTAACGAGCACATATTTAACTGAAATATACTAGCTGAATAAAAAATGAAATTCTGTGAACTACGGCATATTTCTAATAGTAATTAGTTTGAGTAAAATTGGCAATCAAAAGCTTGTTGTATATAAACATGGGGATACTAGTTATCCAAGTATTTTATAAGTTCAATTAGACTTAAGCAAAGTTGCGATAACTTCCAAAAGAAAAAAGGACAAAATAAGATGGATCAAGGATTGTCATTTATTATACTACCTCTATCCCTTTCTTAGTATGGCATGGAACAATTATTGGTGAATCATTATTTTTACTTTTTCACTTCCAATTTTGTGGTATGACTGGTAGGGACTAATTAGTAATTAAAGGTGGTATGTGGTAATGTGGGGATATTTAACTAAGGTGGATAGTTTAAATAACAATTTTACTCTTACAGTCTACCAAATAGCAATAGTTTAGGGACAGACCTAAAAAGGAAACCACATAGTACGAAAGTTATTAAGGGACAGAGAGTATATAATTTTCTCACATAGATAAAATACACAAAGGTATATTGTATAATGGAAATCTTTTGCATTAAAACAATTGGATAGTTGTACCGCGTGTTTGAACATATCATCCTTCCCAATGTACTTTTGATTGCTGTAGTAAACCAACAAGTAAACAATCCATAGAAGTGCTGAGGTAGGATCAGCTTCAAGAGCATGAGCAAGCACTTTAAGAGCCTACATGTTTCAGATAGTGCATGAGCTTATTTAACTCCTCAATGAAATACATTGGCAATTTGCAAGAAAACAAATCACCTCCATTCGGCCTTTGCTTTTATTAACCTCCTGACAGAGACTAAGAAGAGCAAACTCCATGGACTGATCATTATCTGAAACTTGGTGGCCACCTTCAATCTGTTATAGCACAAAGAGTAAGCAAAGACAGATGAAAGGTGATTTTTATTTGTAAAACAATACCTTGGGCTAAGTGTCAAAAGTTGATTCATTCAATATTGCCAACAGAGAACATAGAAATTGAAGAAAATACCAGTTAAGATTAAAGGAAAAGGAAAACATGAGGTGAAAAAGATTAAAAAATATTTGATGACTTCGGTATATTAGTATTATCATAGAATGAATGCTTGAGGACTAAACAAAATAAATTACCATGACAAAGCAATTTTTAAGTACGGAGTATAATTTTAGATAAGTTGGATAATAAGAGCCACGCTTCCAAGAATATATGAGATTCCATAGACTAAGCACATGTGCTCAGGAGGACAGAGCAAAATACAAATTACATAAGCAAACAAATCAAAGTCTTGCATATAAATATGCAATTAGTTCAAATATCATCTCTTGCTCTAAACAGAGATAAATAAATTCAGAATATGCTCTTTTAGAAGTTTCTTCTCAATTTCAAATGTTAAAAATAAGAATTAATACTCCTAATAGGCAGCAATGAAGGGAAAAGGTTACTGAGACGAACCGAGGTTCCGTTTCTGTTTTGGAAATAGAGTAGCTGCCTACTCCAACCCCCATGGACCTCAACACAAACTTCAGAGCCATACAAAAACGGCTCTTTACAAACAAGGTCAGTAAGAAGCAGACTTGAAAGGACAAGGAAACCACTGAAACACTTCCTTTGAGGTACAACAGATTTACATGTCTGTGAATTAGATTTAATAACATCAAAGCCAGCTATTGGGGGAGCCAAAAGTTGTGAATCATGTGACACGGTGAGAGCATTGTTGGAAAGAAATTTTCCTCTTTCAATTGCTGATCCATCCTTCACATCTACAGAGTAAAAAAGATGTAAGAGTAATGTGCTGAGGATAATACTATAAAGAATCGCACAACTGCCACTATACTTCTACAAATTACATACCCCTGCTATTGCAAGTAGGGTTCAACTTATTTTCAGAAGAGTAGTCCCTAAAATGCTGCCAAGTACATTCTTTGTCATTGCATTTCCCTCGGAGTTCATACATGCAAAGCGGCCAAATTGGATCGATAGAAAACTTGCAGGAATAAGAACCATTTTTGTTATAATGTAGATCCAATGAAGCATATTCTTCTACTCCCAAAATGGTTTCCATAGTCTCCTCATCCTTTGCTTCATTAAGATGAGAAGCTTGCATATTTACACTTTTAGTCTGTAGTTTGCCAAAGTTGTTGGCATCAGAACCCTTAAAGTGAGAAAATGCACTCCTGAAAGCAGGAAGTGAAAAGGTTGCAAAACTTGGCGACTGTGATTGCTGATCATCTATGGACATGCAACTGCTCAAATGATTATTGGACAAAATAGGGTGGAAATTGGATCCAAACTTTTCACTATTGCAATGGTCATTTATCTCAACATGGGCCTCATACTCTAACTCAGCTTTATCAGAAGATACTGAAAGAAGAAAAAATAGAATAAAAAAGGTATGCCTGACAAGATATCTCTTTAAATGCAAAATGCAGGTCTAACTAGAAAATGGTTTTATGGTAGAAAAGAATGAAAAATAGAGAAAAAAGGAATTAATAAATATAGATCAAACTAAAAGTAGTTACTGAAGGCCTGAAAATTTGCATGTTCAACACATTTTGTAACCCAATGAGCAAGTAATTTCAAATTTCACATAGCATGGAGCAATTTGTTACCCAAAGAGCATAGAAGAGTATAATAAAATGCAGCTATGCACTATGTTTCCTTCAGAAGTGACATTTTGACTATGACTTGATTACGAGATTGATAGCCTATGAATAAAATATTCACAAGAAACTTTTGAGTAGAAGTAACTCAGTAATATGTCTAATGGAAGAATACCTTGGAAATCAGAATCCTTTTCGTTTGCTTTCTCAACATCAGATGATAACATGTTGCCAGAACTCATTCCCATCCTTCGCTCAACATCATCCACATTTAACATACTCTCAGTGGTCTGCTCCACATTCTGATTTTTGTCTATTTCCTTAGACAAAGATTTCATCTTTAATCTTTCGAAAAGCTGAGATCTCAAAGATGCTTCAAGTAACATAGAATCCTGAGAAGTATTGATCAATGTATGCCTTCCTGGACTATTATTTGCCTCCTTTTCTTGGGTCACCCTAAATGCCTCCTCCCCAAGATATTCTGAACTGTTCAGAGGAGACTTTTGAAACAGCCCATTTTCTTCCTCTGCAGACATACTGACATAATCAGGTTGCAAACACACACCATTTGCTTTTTGATTGGCCTTAGTAATCTCAGCCATACTAACATCAGGCTCACTAAAATGATCAAAAGCTAAATTTTCCCTATCAACAGGCATGTCTGATGCATTTTGCACTGCATCAAAAGTAGAATGGAACTCCACATCACGCATTTGATGATCATGACGATCTTCATGTTGTGCAGGATAGCAAGAAGAGAGCATCAAATGAGCATTAGCACCATTATTGGTCGAGGGGTTAAGCCCAGCTCCACTTTCCAGCTGAGATCCAGGGGGAAAGAACATATCTGGATAGACTGGATTCTCTATCATAAAGTGTTGAAGTTGTGCTGAGTATTTCTCTCTTTTACGGAATAGAGCAGAACATCTATAATTTGCCTCAATCAAGGCTTTCTGAGCCTTTCGGTAAGCTTTGAGAGCAATTCTTTCTTCAATTTCACACTTGTGCCGATATTCCTGAGCCTCGTCGAGTTGCTTATCATGTAATTCCTCAATGTCCAACAGTGATTGCATGTTCATGCTACTATTTCTAGATATGTTTGCTTCTCTGAAGTTGTGTGGTACTTGTTGAATATTCAGAGATTCCTTGGTCAAGATAAAAAAAATAGTGGACATAGTAGTTAAGACATGAAGAACTGGTATAATAGAGAACAATTTGCAACCAAAAATGGCCTGGGAAAATTATCTGACGCTTCACCGCTCTATTAAGCTTAAGCTGTTTTTCGCGAGATATAGACCAGAATGTGCAATATCAGTGACTAAGGTCCCCCCAACAACATTAATGGTTTACCTGATTTACATTCTGTGCAGTAGGTTGATCTGATCCGACTTGAAAACTACAGCCTCTTCCTGTAAAATTCTTTCCAACGTACCCAGGGCGATAGATGCTTTGGTCACTATGCTTAGTTGGATCGTTCATCTCCACTTCAATCTTAGAATGGGAAGGTAGATAGAAATGCCAATTTAGGTTCTAATAGATAGATTAACAAACTGGGTTGTTGTTGTTTAGAAAGATTAACAAATAAAACCATGCAAACTCTAGATGGTTGGTCATATAGATTCCTCCCTTTTTAAGACAGTATTTAAAATTTAAATCACATATAGCACACTATTTAGCTCAAGTACTATATACAATAACATATTGCTGAGAACAGTTATTAAATGAATGCTAATGGTAAAAATGTATAAAGTACTCAAAAAACATTTAATGCATAACCACTCTCAATAGGCAGCCTCATAATCAACAGCACATGAAAGTGTCTTGTCCAATACGAACAATCAGCAGCCACAAAAATGACAACAAATAAACATATACGGAGTATAAAGAAATTGTAGAAAAAATATATTGGCAGCCTATAACATACTGATTCATTAACTGCAGCTTGTTCCAATGTAGCCACATGGTCTCTCGTGTTTGTTTTCCAGCGACTTTGGCCTGTGATTAAATCTGTACCTATACAATAACAAGTAGTGTCCTTAAGAGTCTGAGCTTTTATCAATCCTAGTGGTGTCGTGGTGAACTCATTAGTTTTATGTTTGCCAAGTTTCATACCAGCAGCAAAATTTGTCAAAAATGTAGAGCCCTGATTCTCATTCTCATTGTGGCATAACGTAAGGCTTCCGTCAGATGTGCCAGCACGAAACACTTTGTTAAGACTGTTTTGACCACCTACACCAGGTTGACCACAACTTGCTAGCACATGCTTTTCTGGTGCAAATACTGTATCTGTGGTATGAACATTCTGAACCATCTGGCTTGAATGCTTTTCACCAATCCTTCGGATTTTTTTGCTAGGTTCTTTTACCTCCTGTGGCATATTTTCTGCACCCGTGGCTCCGGACACACCGGTCATGCTAATGCATGTACCCGTAGTACTGAGTGCGTTACATTTAGTTGAACTGAAATTCTTTGGTTGCTGAGTGCTCTTAAGCTTCAATTCATTCTCCCGAATAGCAATCAGTTGCCGTAGATCTTGTAGTTTACTATTATCCAGTGTCGTATTTGTTTTGTGCACAAAAGATGGACCAGCTGTCTTCTTGAAGTTATTATAACTTCGAGCATTTAGTGAAGATCCACCCCTTCTATGAGTTGTTGCATTGATTTTGTGAGATGAAGAAAGAATTTTGTGAGTAAGGGGCATTGTTCTCGCCACTTTAGACTCATTTCTCATTGGTTTTCCTGTTTTTTGTGGTTTTCGCACAGATGCTTGTGGTGGTTTCTTGCTTGTATTAACAGATAGGCTCCTGCTTTCATTTGTCATAACATTTTTCTGTGGAGTACCTTCTGGGTCACTGCCACTTTCATCATCTGAAAAACTTATCAGGAATGGCACGAATGAGCCTCGGTTCTTATCAGAATTCTTATGGGCATTTGACTCTTGAGAAGGTTGTGAACTTAATCTGTCTAATGTGTTAGAAGACACACACCTTCCTGTGAAAATGAGAAAAAAAGTATTAGAAATCAAAGGATAAGTCGTTGCAGAAAATAAATAAATAAATAAATCAATAAATCTATTCAGAGGAAAATTTGTAATAGCCTTTAAGAGGAAGTCAAGTCTTCCTATATGATTGGAAGTCAAATTGCATCATGATACAAATAAGCCAAAGTAGTACACTGTACATGGATACCATATGAAGAACTGAAGACATAAAACATCTACAAAGTACAAAGACAGCTTATATTGGTCAGTGGCCACTCTTAAGGTAAAGGCATACATCATTGACTTAAAAAGAGTGTCAACAGCGTCAAAGCTCCAATACATTGAGGGGTTTGGGAAGGAGTTATGGGAAGCCTTTTCGATGGGGCGGATCAAAATATGTAACCTTTGATACGTTTAATTAGCATACATTTCAAAGACGCAATACCAGGCACTGAAATAGGGAACCATGATTAGTGGAGTGCAGTTTAAGTTTTCAGGGTTGAAGTTTCCATTCGTAGTGTTTTTATTTGTGTGTATCAGTTGGTGTGGTGGCTCAAGGGTTTTAGGCAGTACTCCATAGTTACAGAAAACTCAACATCATCTCCTAAGTTTTCTGCATGGAACCGGTTTTCCTCAGCTTATTTCAACATGAAATTGGTAAATAGATCACTCCAGACCAAACTGGACAAGCATTGAATAATTATAAATTTGCATAATATCAACCCAAATCAGACCCCCAAAACAGTTGAAGAGAACATGATTCTATTTTACAATACGATAGTGACACCTTCCGTCTGGACTTGCATGTCAACCCTGCAATGAAAAGTGTCCAACCTCATCATCCTTACTGTCGTTGTGTGATGCTGCCCCAAGCCCAGGCACATGTAAACCCTCTTGGAGACAACTCACAAATGGATACACTCCAACATTGCACCAGACTCACCCTTACCATGAATCACAGATCACAAAACCTATTTCACCAAATACACAAAAAAAAACAGTGGACAAAGCTTCCATTCAAGGTATAGCAACACATACCAGCCTCATTACCATGAGTCTCTTTAACCAACTCAGTTTCCATGGCCTTCTGTTTAGCTGCATTCACGCCGGGGAATTGTGAAGTTGAGCAGTGAGGTTGATTTTCCTGTCACAAAGAATTCCTTCAGCTCTCCCATATTTGGATCGGTAAATTCAAAAGGTCCAATAATTAGTTTCATCTTTATAGCCTCTTCTCCCTCTCAAGTAGGCATTTCAGAAACTTAAAAAGCCATTTCATTAACTTTTATCTCATTCATCGTCAATATTCAAACCAAAACTGAATCAAAATATGCCTAAAGGACGATCGAAATAGAACACAGAAGCTCATAAATTTTTTTTTCAGAACAGCGTAACAGATATTGAGATAAATTCCAAACGCAGCGATTTCAAAACATGGAAAGAAATACTCCGTATGAGAATGCGGTTTAAGGAAGAGGAGAATACGTCGTCATCGGATAGCTCTCCTTCCTCTCTGCTACTCGAAGAGATCTTTTTGTCGGGAAGAGGAGAAGGCCGTCGGTGTTCGGCCTCGGAGTTGCTAGGGTTTTCCATTGAGCTTCTTCTTCTTCTTCCAGAAACTGCTTCGGTTGCCGCCGTCTGTTTCCCGTCCAGCGCTTTTGTATGGTCCATCATCACACTCATTCCGTCATCACGCGCTCTCCCACGTTCTCTCTCTCTCTCTCTTCTCCTTTCTTTTTTCTTTCAAAAATCAAAATAGAGCAAAGTTGTCTACTTGTCTTTGTTGACGTTGGCCCTAAATAGTAGTACTCCCTAGTAAACATTTTGAGGCTTGTTACATTATGGAGGCCGGTTTTACATTGGAAATAATGTTACGGGATGACTCGGAGTGTTTCGATGTATCGTTTGTAAAATTAACAATTCTTACCTTCTACCCCCAGTAAAACCTTCTCATCCTGTCCCGACCCGAACACAGCCCCTCCCCACCCCCTTCAATTGCACCCCCAAGTTAATTTTAACTTTGAAGGGTGCAATTGAAGGGGGTGGGGAGGCTGTGTTCAGGTCAGAGTGGGTAGGGGGTTTACCGTAGGGGTCAGAGGTGTAAGAACCGTCAATTTTATGAACGGTGCACCAGAATACCCCAGGGTCATCCCATAACATTGATTTCTAATGTCATGGGAAAAATGGATAAAATTTGAGATAAATATGGGTTAAGGTTGTTTTGACATTGATTGTAAGTGTCAATGGATGACAATCGAATACATAATAGTTATACATTTGGAGAGACTAAAAGGAGGTCTAAGGTGGGTTGCAGGGGTCGGGCTGGGTTGGGGGTGTGATGGAGTTAAGGGTAGAAATCATCAATTTTACAAACAGAGCACTGGAGAAATTCAAAATAAACGAGTATCATCTCTTGATACTAGATTACCATTATCAACGAAACCTTACCGGATAAATATACACGAGTGTGTATCTTGTTTGAGCTTTAAAATGTAACTGAAATCTTGTCTTTTAAAAATCCAAATGATATTTAAATAAAGAAATATACAATATTTTAAAATGTATACTTAAATGGAAGAAATGTCTTTATAAGAAAAATGGAAGAAATATCTATAAAATCTAGTTTGTACTTTGTATTTCACTTCTAATGATAACAAATCAACATTTCAAATGCTTCAAAAAGTGTATATATTATTAACAAAAAAATTAAATTTCACTTAAGTAAGTTTTATACATAATAAAACTTGAGATAAATTTTTAAAATAAACTTATTACATAAAAAAATTGTTATATTTATAATATATATGTATGTTGGATTTGATTTTTTTTGGTATGAAAGTTACCTCGTATGGGTTCAAATAATGGACCGATCATTCGGTACAGTTCGATTTTTTACAGTATTTTTTTATCGGCTTTTGCGACTTTTGGATCAATTTAATACTTGATAGCTCCTACTAAATACTCCGAGCAAAGGAGAGACAAAAGACCCATATAAATGTAAGGTCTCATTTTATTGATATTGTCTGATTACACCAGTGGACGTTCCTCATTTAGAATATTTACGATGCTCTATTAGGGCCTACATACGATGCTCTATTATCGATTAATGAGTCAGACCACATATTAATGCGGGCTTCTCATTCACCTCAGAGATGGGGAGAAAGGATCCGTAGTCCTCCCTTTGATTTTCATCATCTCGTTAATATAATGAGAAATTTACATAAATATGACTAAAACATAATGACTTTCCCAATATATGACCATATGTTTTTATTTTCCAATGTAGGACCTTTGGTCATTATCAAGTAGTCATTATTCAACAAATGTCCATCATTACTAGACATTATTCCTTCCACTAGGTCATTATTAAGTCATATTTAGGGAATAAAAAAGTTTAAGTCCTACATTAGGAAAGTCATTATGTTTTAGTCCTATTAGTGCAAATTTCACAAATATAATTTAACTTCCTTTGGTTTAAAAAAAGGTTATTAAATGACATTTTTGCCCTTTATTCTTTTGATTTATTACTCCGTAGTATATAGTAAGGACAAAAGTGTCTTTTTTGTTTTAGTATATATTCATTTCACTTACTTTTGTCTTCATTTTCTGTTCATCCAAATAACAATAATTGCATTTTTATTTTCTTCCTTGTTATTTTTTCTTTCTTCTTATTTTTTCTCATTTCTTTTTTGTTTTAGTATCTTTTCACTTATTTTTGTCTTCATTTTCTGCTCATCCAAATAACAATAAATTCATTCATTTTTTTTCATTTCTTTTTGCATCCAAACAAAGCCTAAATATTACCCTCCTACCCCTTATCGGGTTCCATATTTATCCCCTTAAAATTGTTTGAATTTGAAAATGAGATAATAAAAAATGAGAGATTTTGTTTTTAAGAGATTTCCTTTCATTCATTTTTTTTTTCATTTTTTCCTTCATTTCTTTTTGCATCCAAAACAAAGCCTAAATATTACCCTCCTACCGTCCTACCCCTTCTCTGGTTCCATATTTATCCCCTTAAATTTTAGTTTGAACTAGTATTTTTACCCGTGCCATGCACGGGGTAATACACAATTTTTGTCGATTTTAAAATTTGTTCCATGAAATTTATGTTTTAGAATAAAGAAAATATATTTCTCGCATGTTTTTTTAATACAATAGGTGTAAAATGCCAAAGTAGACTTAATAATATTCGAGCAATTGAACGTAGACTTAACAATATTTATTTTAATAGCAAATTTTTCGGAAGAATTCAGGGTATACAATATTCTTTGTTTGGTTGCAAGGGTTTCCATTGTCATCTAGAACTAATATTTTTAATCACGTCTTTGTCTTTACTCGTGAAACAGCAACATAAAGTTGACTATGTATGAATACCGACTTAGTTAAAAATAATCCCACAAATGACAATGTTTGACCTTGATTTTTGTTGATAGTCATAGTAAAACATAAGATGATTGGGAATTGTCTTCTTTGGAACTCCAAGGGTAGTCCTGGATCAGATAGTACCAAATTCATTCTAGAGATGTAAACCTTTTCCCCGACTCGATTTCCGACACCACAATTGCACCGATAACATTATTTCGCAGCTCTTGAACGATTAATCTGGTTCCATTACACAATCCAGATGTCTGGTCAATGTTCCTCAAAAGCATAATCGGCACCCCTTTTTCAAAACTATTTTGTGGTTGGGGATTCCCGAACATTTGATTTCATTCAAAAACTCCACTATTATCCAATCGACCTCAACACCTACATCTGCATTTGATTGGCAAGAAGAATCAGAACTCAAATACTCCTTTCCATCACCAGGAATAAGAGATAGGACAAATTCATTTATCATTTCAACTACTTCGAGAGTTGGTGCTAATAGTGCTCTATCCTCAAAAAAATAATTTTTTATATTCTCTAATATATTCGGATAAGTGAAGTCTACTATACTCTTGATATGTGAACTTGTATCAAGATTTAAGAAATTAGGCGGAATATCGACATCACTAACTCCATTAATCACCTGACCTAGCTTTCCATCTCATAGTTTGATTATCCAATCGGAAAAAGCTTGCGTGTCGCTATTTGTGCAAGAGGACATAGATGAATGCAATCTCATATTCTTGGACAATGTAAAAACTTTACAACACGACCACAAATGTGAGGAATTGATTGTAGCAGCTACAATTTCCTCTCTAGAAGCTCTGGGTAAAACTGGAAGGATCTGCTGAAAGTCATCTCCGAGTATAACTATTTTCCCTCCATATATATTTTTGGTATTGATTTTGATCCATACATATGAATTTCCATTCATAAATCTTTGTAATTGATTAATTTAAGTAACTAATCAAGTAGTCTTGAAGTTGTATTGTTTAATATATAGGAGTTTCCATAAACATGCGTATAAAAGTGAGAAATTTAGGTAATCAAAAAATAAGAAAGTAAGATCCATGATTAAATGCATTAAACGGTCTATTACTATTTAAAGTTTTATTCTGGTTTATTTATTATGGTTTTTGTTTTTGAATATTTTAAAATTGTTTAACCAATTAACTTTCATGGTTTATTTAAAGGATATGAGTTGCATTAATGAGAGGATTTCTGGTGTAGTACTATTTAAGGGTACTATATTGATTTTGATCCATATATATATATATATATATATATATATATATATATATATATATATATATATATATGAATTTACTTTTATAAATCTTTGTAATTCATTCATTTAAGTAAGTAATCTCACAACATATTTGTAAGTTAAATGATTAATATATTTAAAGTGGTCTTAACGTTCTATTATTCATTTAAGAATATGGAGTGGACACGAAAAATATTTTGTTACTCACAACTCACAAATATGAATTTGAAAGTTTAAGAAAGTATTATTTGATTATAAATAATTTAGAAAATAAATTTTAAATTTCACTGATTATTTTAAAATTTGATTTTAAATTTTATACTATTATTTTAAATTATTTCTGAAGTTGAATTTATAAAATTTTTAATCAAAATTATGAATTATAGTTTTCACTCATTGCATAAAATTTCACGAAGGTTCTAAATTCTTCTATAATACACCCTCTGTGTTTGAATTTAATCTTCTCATTTGACTTTTCTTGGTCAATTTTGTATACTTTAACCTCGATATATCGAACATTGTCTTTCGATAGAAATGTATAACCAATATTTTCCTTTTGTAACTAATGAATCTCTTCATATCTGGTAGCTCCTATTTTAGAGATAAAAAATATGCATTTTTATTCTAGTACTTTCTCCATGTTTTATTCTTATTATGGCACGGAGTATTTTTTCAAAAAATCATAGCGACACTTTGTACATAAGGCATATACTCCGTATACAACTTAAATTGGATCTACCCATATTTTGATTAAAATTGTCACGTCATTCAAGAAGTTAATAGGTGGCGAGTGATTTGTTAAAATATTCTCATGTAGACTCGTCACTTGTCGCAATTCTAAGAGTTTAAGTCTCAAATTTAATATATCAAATTTAATATACAAATCCTTCTATTTTTATTGAAGTAAAGTGAATATTCCAAAAAAGGTAATTATAGCCAATTGGGGTGACCAATTAAAGAGGTATTAATGTTGCAATTTAAAAAGTCAATATTGTTTGTTAATTAAAGAAATTTTGAGGAAAAAAGGAAATTGAATTTCATAATTTCCGTTCATAAGGAAAGGACAAAAAAAAGTGTCTTTAATATTGGTAAGCTTATATTTATAGAAATTAAATTTAAAAAATAGGTAAAATATTGAGAAAAAAAACGCTCCGAACAATATTGTTTGTTAATTGAAGCAATTTTGAGGGTAAAAAGGGAATTGAATTTCCGTTCATAAGGAAAGCACCATAAAAATCATCTTTAATATTGGTAAGCTTATATTTATAGAAATTAAATTTAAAAAATGGGTAAAATACTGAGGAAAAAAATTCCAGTCAAGTTTTTTATTTTTGAAATTAAATCTAAAAACCCAATATTTTTATCCCCTTAAAACGATTTTGAAGAAGAATAGAAAATAGATTTTTTAAAAAATTCAAGGATGTCCAATTAAAAATCGAATCTAATTTATATAAGTTTTTAATTATAGAAATTGAATAAAAAAATTAGGTGGAATGATTGAACACCATAGCCATGGCACCTTTTGATTGAAGATATCATGCAGATTTAGTTTATTGAAACCTAAGTACAAATGGCGATGGAAGCTAACCTGAAGAAGACGGGTGATGAAGGCCATCGTCATCGACATCGCATCTGTTTAGATATTCGATCTGTGAATTGGAGATAAGAATGAGAGACATTGATATTAACTCTGAATAAAATATTTCATAGATCGTGTAAACCAAAAGCACCGAATTGGAGAGGAAAGCATTTACTTTGGAAGTCCAAAAGCACCAGATAAACTATTTCAATTCCTTTAGTTTTCTCACTTAGATTACATGTAAGCCAACTGTGTAAAAATGATCCACATGTGCATGCCAAATGTCAAGCTCTGGTGCATTGAGTCTCCTTTATTATAATAAAGGATTTGAAAATGGGATAATAAAAATAAGAGGTTTTGTTTTTTAAAAAAGAAATATACACCGACCGTGGGACTCGAACCCACGACCACGTGGTTAAAAGCCACGCGCTCTACCAACTGAGCTAGACCGGCTATCTCGCCAGTGAAATGTATACAGCCAATATATTGATAAAAGGATAAAAAATATATACCTTTACAATTTACACTCTGTAGTTCATACGTGTTATGATGAAAAATATAATCTCTTACAACTTCAGAATTACTCCGGGTAATATTTAATACTCTCCCGATACATTTTTAACTATTTTACTTAGGGGCTGTTTGGCAACTTCTGAATGGGTAAGTGTTGAACCAGTAAGAGGTCTGAACCATTAAGTGCTGAACCAGTAAGAGGTCTGAACCATTAAGAGCTAGTATATTGCTTAACTATTCAGAGGCAAATGTCTGATCAATTCAGATAAGAGGTCTTAACCATTCAGACTCTGTATAATATTTAACCATTCAGAGGCAAATCTCTTAAGCATTCAGACATCTGAACCATTAAGAGGCTGAAACAAACAGTCTGAACCATTAAGTGCTGAACCATTCAGACATCTGAACTATTAAGAGGCTGAAACAAACAGCCCCTTAGCTTTTTATATTGTCCCAAACTTTTGACTAAGTAATACGGAGTAAAAAACAAAAGTTTAGGGAGTACATACAATGTCTATTTACTTCGCATTCTATAAACATTATATTGTATTAGTATATGGATATTATTAATAATCAATTGGAGGAGAAAAAAATTTGCTCGGTGTCATTTGAAAAAAAAATATTACACATTTTGGTGCTACTTGGAAGAGCAAATTTCACATTTTGCATCTACCTTACAAGTACAAAGAGATTGGTTTTAGCACTATTAGTCTTTTAAGTTTCCAAAAAGTAAAGTTTACATTGTAAATTTTTAACACTAATGATCCATGATCCATTTATTACAACTATATTGACGTTTGAAGTCAAAAGAAACACTCAACCTTTGCCAGTAGTTTAAGTTTGAAACTTTGGATACATATAACTTATTTTGTTTTTTAAAAGTGTCTTATTGCCAGTCTTTAAAGCACTGATCTTTTCGACTGGTCATAGTCCTTAGACTAGTCTTCTGCTAATATTGAACTATTTCAACTCTTCAACATGACCATTACTAGTCCAATTTTCCTTACATACTAAATACTATGTGAGACTGCAGTTCTCGAACCAGACTAGTTTTAATGACTATTTTGGTTTACCATGAAGCGTGTTTTGCGCTACCTGCATGGCACTGCTACATTTGGCATTACTATCTCTCTTTCTGACACTAAATTTCTTCATGCATACTCAGATGTAAATTAGGCAAGTTGTCTAGACACACGGTGATCCACCTATGGATATTGTGTCTTCCTTGGTGACAATCTTGTTTCCTAATCCTCAAAATGGCAGGGTACCACCAAATATCATGCGGTTACCAACATTGTTATCGTGCCGAATTAGATCCACAATGTTAGTGATCTTTACTTATCATCAAACCCCCTTCAGCACCAGAGAACGAAACATGTTGAGGTTGATATTCACTTTATACGTGACAAAGTTGCTTTAGGCAAAGTACGAGTTCTCTAAATATGCAGATATTTTTGCCAAATGTCTCCCGCATATGTTAATTCTAGATTTCCAAGATAATCTTGGGATTCGCTCTCGCTCTCTTCTGACATTGATGTCAGAAACATGTTCAATATAATAAATATTATATTTAATATTAATTGTATCGTCTCTTCATATTCTAGAAGATGTCTTTCTCCATTGTACCTCTCTAAGATAATTAGAACGTAGAAAAGAAAGAAAAAGATACAGTGGAATTAGTGTAAGTTCGTGGGGCGCAGCGGATAACACCAAACACAAGCTATGCAAACAGATCAGTCCACTATGCTGCAGAGAAGATGCTGCAGCACTGTCACAGTAACAGATGATTGACAGAGTACTGTAACACCTTCTCTGTCACAAGTACACACGTAAAATATAAAGTAAAAACAGCAAGCAAGACACCAGAATTGTTCACGCAGTTCGGAGCAAATTCTCCTACGTCTGCAAGGCCCACGTCCGTGTAATAGCCCTTCCACTAAATCACCGTAAGAATTACACAATCAATCACAACAGAACCTTCTAATGTATTGATTTGTCTACTTACGAATGACTTGACGACAAACTCGGTTTGCGTCTATCTCCACGGCTTGTTACACCTTCTCAAAGATCTTCTTCGAGGACGTAGATTCTAATACACCTTCAAATAAAGATTCTCCTTGATCTACAAAAATATGCAGGCTGTTCACAATCTCATAACTCGAGATTGAACCGTTGAAATTCGATCTCCACCGTTCAGATTGAAGCTCCACGAGTCCCTAGACTCCTCCTAAAATTTCAGCATGATCGGACAAGATTTGATACTCCAACCATCGAGAAAACCAGGTCTGCATTTTCTGCGAAAAATCAGCAATAATGTGTAGATTGTAACTTCAATAACAGAAGATCCATAACTCCGATTGACGTGAAATTTGAACACGTTGAAGCCCTATGTGTTGGGAACACTCTCTGAAAATTTCAGCAAAATCCAACGGTCGGATCTCCGGCTATGATCAAATCTGTGCGGGCTGTCCAGAAAATTTACAGTTTCAAAATCTGCACCTTGTTTTTTCTTTTGATCGAATTTGCTTCTGGTTTTTAGTAGTTTTTCACGCCCAAAACCTAAGGGAGGGTGAAGATATTAATAGAATAGAATAGCCATGTTGGAGTGTGCTTAGGATTCTCAACCATGGTCTCCTCCTTATGAATTGTAAACCAAGTAGGATTAGAATCCAAGTAGGACTAGAATTCTCTCTTCAAGCTTTTTCCCTCTTCCTCTTCATTCACATGCTAGGACACTAATTCTAAATAAAACATCTAAAATAATTCTAGATAAATCCATTCGTTTGTCAAAAAATAATGCCAACACAATATGGAACTAACAATTAGAGAATAAAAAGGAGAGAAGAACGAAAAAGAAAAATAAGGAGAAAGAAGATAGCGGTGGAGCAAAAAGAAGAAGGAAAAAGAAGAAAGGAAAAAAAGGGAGAAGAGAAGGAAATGAGGAGAAGATTTTTAGAAGACTAGACAAAATAAGGTAGAATGAGAACATCATTTCTGGACAGAAAAAAAGAGTACGACGGGAACAGTATTCCTAGATGGAGGGAGTAGTTATTTATTATTACTCCCTTCGTCCCCGAAAGAAGTTCCCCTCTCTTTTTTTCTTTGTCCCCAAAAGGCAAAAGAACTTCCCTTATCTATTAAAAAATTACTTTTATCCCTCATTTTTTCATACCCTACCTATCACATCATATCTTTTTACTAATAATCTACGGAGTACATATCATATCTTACTTTTACCAATCAAATCAAGGGTATTTTTGAAAAGTCAACACAAAAATATCCATCCCTTAAATCCTCAAAAAGTCAAAAAGGGAACTTATTTTGAGGACGAAGGTGTATTTATTAATATTCTATAGATTAAGGTTTTGTATGGGTCCGAGCCCATTAAGTCGCGTGAGTGTGACGTCTCATCGATATATATTGTAATTCCATATTATTATCATTCAATCAATCAATAATTAAGAATTTTCTTAATCTCTCGTCTCTCTTTTCTTGGAGCTCGAAAATGCTCGAATCTTTCTTTCTCTCTTTGTCTCCCCTTTCTTGGAATTTGAAGAACGCTCGAAGTTCTTCCATATCCCGGTATGAATCGTAAAAGATTCGTATCAAGAGCCTTGTGATTATTCAATTGAATTAATTTGTACTTAATAAGTTGAAAAATAAGTTGAACAAAACAAACCCTATAATAGAGGTAGAATATCATTTTTAATAAGAATCTATCGCGCTTATACACGAACTCTCTCGCTCAACTCACTTTCTTCTTCTTCTTCTCTACCCCTTTCGTTGAATTTAATTGATTCAGCTTTTGGTGGTTTATGATCATCATATGAATTACTCTATAGAACAGGGTCGGTTTTGAGAATTCAAGAGTATGTGATGAGATAAAAAAAATATTTTGAGTTCTAATGAATGAAATTAAATGGACCAATTACTCAATTTGGAGGGGGTGTAAGGGTGTGTTATGGACGAGACGGGTTGTGGGGGTTCACCGTGGGGGTCATGGGGATAGGAACAAACAAACAATCAATTTTATGAACGGAGTATCGTAAATATCGCGATTGCACTGCTATAAGAATTGATTTTGGTGTACAATAATTTATTCGAAGTATCTCTAGACTATGGTGCTTCATTCACAAAAGTGATAGATCTAACTTCCGCTCCTGAAATAAATATTATAATAGAGAAGAATTTTAAAGAAAAAAATATGAAGGGTCAAGGGACTAGTTCACATTATGGAACAAGCCCAAAATGATGCAATGAGTTTCAACCCATATACTTATCCGGGCCGTGCTCTTTCTAGGCCCATGAAATGGGAGAGAATGTACTTACAGAGGCGTTCCAGCGCAGATGTTCAGCTTCCATTCGGTATTGTTCATCAGTGAACATCCATTTCTAGAGAGAGAGAAATCGTAAAAAAAGCTTAGCCGCCGGAAGATGAGGCAATTCGATCCATGGCCGGTGTTTTTCCGCCGTGAGTTCAGCCGGACCTGGCCATTCCTTGTCGGCTTCGGCATCACCGGCGCCGTCATCACCAAGCTCTCCCTCGGGCTCACCGGTTCGTATGTAAATTTCGCATTCATACATTTGCGTCTATATCCTCTCATCTGATCTTCGCTTCTGATTGTTGATCTGCAGAAGAGGACGCCAAGAAATCGAAATTCGTCCAGAGGCATAAAAAGTGAGTATCGTTTCAGAACGTTCATACACCTTTATTGTCTGGTCATTTGAAACCCTAGAATGAAATCGAAGGCATGATTTAAGATCTGGATGTCTATATTATCCAGTGTTATTCAATGATGAAACAAAATCAAGTCTAGAAACAATGCATTGACATCCGGATCGATTGCAATTTTTGTGTGGCTTCATTTGATTTTATTTGTGTGTTAGACCACTATAAGTATATAAAATGTCCCGTGGTTTTCATTTCTTAGCCTTTTAACTAATCCAAAATCTTAATAATACATTGAAATGAATCTCGATGTATGGTCATTCGTGATCTCCCAATCGTGTAAAGCATCACGCTCTTAAATCCATTGAGAATGATGCGATACAGTGGTAATTGGTAAATGTAAATTAGCCACAGAATGTTGAAACTTGAAAGTTAGAGTTGCTGAAGTTGTGCACTCAAGACAACTTGTTTTTGTGTATAGAATTGTAATTCAACATATTGATAACATAGCACATCTTGTTTTTAGGTTTCTAGAGAGTGTTTGTGGGTGGTTTACTATTTTAATTTAACTCTATCTCTGTCCTTCATAGAGCATGTTACATAGATAAATATAAATAAAGCTAAAGTAGAAACATTACGAACTGCTATTATTGTGAGTGATTGCATCTCTTTTACATTTTAACAAGCTTCTATGTAGCATGTTTACAGGTAGAAAGTTTTGTTAAAATGATTGATTTCCAGATGATAAATGAAGCATGTTAGTTGAATTAGTCTTATTGAAATTTATTGCTTGTTGATATCATTCTGGTGTTGCTTAAGCACCATCAAAACAAGTCGTGTGCTTGGAGGGAGGGAAGGAAGGCTAAGGGCTGTGTGTTTAGTTAAGGGAGTATGAAGCGGGTGGGTGGGGGGGGGGGAGCAGTAGGAGTTTTCACTTTCTATTTCAAATCTTGTCACATTATCATCTCTATACATATAGATTACTACTACGGAGTATTAATTACAATATAAAACTATACTAAAATAATTTTCTTTGGTATATTTGAAGATAAATTTCTTCCACTCCTCAATTGAACCAAAGATAACTTTTCAGAACCCGTCCACCCCCTCCCCAATTTCATTCCGCTTTATTGAATCATACAATGGGTAAAAATCAGCTATATAGGGTTTTATAAACTTGCACTATCCTTCGGACATTGTACAGATTGTAGAAGCAACATTCACATCAGAATTGGTAAAGAGTGCAAATTTCTCTATTCATTGTTTCCTATGTGTGTAGGTGTTCTTAGACTCAGCAAATGAATAATTTAAAATGCAAAGTTCCCGTCCATGTTTCTGATCTGGAATTCATTTTGGATGCTTAATTACTATTGTACTCTTACTATATGTGATTGGTACCACTAATATAAAGGTCAAATAGTGATCTTATCCCGGGATGTCATTAAGAAGAGCCATGTTTCACAAAGGTAAACTGTTTGAGTATAAGTAAAGCGCAACTATTGGAAATAATCAAAAATAGTTCCATTTTCAAGTTTATTTGTTGGCTTAAGTAAACGTAACACACTCAACTTGTTCGGGACACAACGTTTATGAAAAACATCAAACATGTTGAGAAATAGCATATTTCCTTGAAAAAGGAGTCTTCATCCTGGTATGGAATAAGTTTTCAGTTGCAGGATAGAGGGTTGTGTGTCTTTTATAATTCAAAATATATTTTGGTAGATTAATTAAAATTTTGCTTATTCATCTTTACATTTTGCAGGTGATTTAATGCCGAAAGCTGATGATGGATAAGGCATTTGGTCAAGTAACAGCTGCACTTTTCTTTTGCATGTTATGTGTTTTCATTTGTTTCTAGAAGTATCAGACAATGCCATAAAGCATCCCCATAGTTTTTGGGTGGAAACATAACTGCACTTGGGTTATTATTGCCAATTTGGAAACTTTGGATTTACTTGTGCTTGTCTACCCTTGCCTCCTGTTCTTAGACGACGAGCTCTCATTTTTTCAATAAAAAAAGCTATATGTTTGCGATCTGTTGGATTACATAAACTTGGAGTGGATCATAAAAATACCATAAGAACTTGTAGAAGTGCTTATGAATAAGCAGGCAAAGGGAAAAGGTCCTCATTCTCCCAAACATGCCATTAAGGTGTAGTACTTCGAAGTTCGAACCCCGTTTCAAAATTTCAATATTGATTCTATATTTACTCTCTCTGTCCTAATTTACTTTGCTTGTGTGACGATTTTTGGGGCCAAATTTTGTAAAATCTTAAATTTGACATGATATTACACTGCACCTTTAATTATGATGTTGCTTTACCATCGTGAAATACTTGTATTCACAAGTATTTAATCGAATATATGAACGATCAAAGTTGCTAAATTGTCAAATATTCCCCCGAGAAAAATAACACTTGGATACTAGATTAGAAACTAGATGAATTTGCAAAAAAAAAGGGTGAGTCCCATTTTAGGGTTTCTCTAGAATCCGTCCAGAAAGTAGTTCAAATGAGATACAAAATTTTTTTAATCTTAAACTAATCAATATGAAATGAGATCTGTCGTATATTTGATTTATATAAGAATATAATTTTAAGCATGATTGTCTTTCATCAACCATCACCACTGTTAAAAGTCAAACTCAACTATTAGTCCTTTTGAATTCGGCATTGACTAACTAAGCAGTTAGACGAAACTTGAAGACTTCAATTTTTCCAAAGTGGGAGTCAATTGTTACACACTTACACACTCATTTTCAGATTTTTTTAACTCTACTCAATTTTGTGGCTAAAACAAAAATTAATTAAACATGTGATGATAATGGAAAGGGTGAAAGATGACATGTTTTTTCCCCACTACACAATCTTCAAAAGATCTATCATGTAATTACCCATCCTCCATCCATTTTTTAATCCATTAAAATTCTTAATGGATTTTAAACCTCTACAATCCCACTCAAGAATTTTGAAAGATACAAGCCCGAAACTTTTTCGTCTTTCAGCTCCCACAAAGTCTCTGCATTCACAACTGATCTAACCAAAAAACTTGTACCAAAGGGCTAGAGGTTCATTCATTGAAATCCCCAATTTTGCCTACCTCAAAGACCTCTCATGAGATAAAAATTTAAGTGGAGTGATTTTTGCCAATGGACCCCCTCAACTTATATATATATATATATATATATATATATATATATATATATATATATATATATATATATATATATATATATATATATATATATATATATATATATATATAGAAGTTGGTTCAAATGAGAATAGAATCTAATGAAAGAAGTAGGAATAAATATAGGCCGTAGGATCTTCATCTCCAGATCTAAGATCTCCACTTCCGCTGAGGGGCATAAAAGTATTTCCAGATCTCCTTCCTTCTACAACCTCTATGTTTCAACACCCGGACATCTCGCCACTTACCCTGTTTTTTCTCGCCTAATTTACCTTCCATTCCATCTTCCAGATTTCCGTTTCCTTTTAGGTATGGATTCCATTAATATTAATTCCTATATTGTATCCTACGGAAGGAAGGGCTTTCAGAATCCCTTGATCAGTACAGCATTGAATCTTCACTGCAATGACGGAGCCCTCAGCCATGGACGCAGGTACCAGCCCGACCAATTCAATTTTCTGGATTTTGGAAAATAAGTTTGTAGGAAAATAATTATTTCGAACACATTTTCCTGGTTCTGCACTTGTACTATATGAAATGTTTCTGCATTCTTCACTTTTGTTGGTGAAATTTTTATTTGTTGGTGAAATTTTTATTTTTTATGCATAGGGGGATATACGAATACATTAGTGGAAGAAAATGCCGAAGAAATATCATTTTTTGATCCAAATATATGCATCCCAGAATGCCCAGCAGATTCTAAGCCCAAAGTGGGAATGATTTTTGAGAAGCTTGAAGATGGGATTTCGTTCTACAAGAACTACGTGCTTTTGGCAGGTTTTGACATTCGGTTGGGTACGTCTACAAAGTCTCCGGATGGTGTAAATGTATGGAAGTATATTTTATGCAGTCGTGAAGGTCATAAACACGCTGCTCAGATCTCCAGCAATGCTCCCAGTATGTCCGCGAGCACCCCAAATGGTAAGAAAAGGATTCGGCGTCGTGTTTCCAACCGCACTGGCTGTAGAGCACGTGTAATTTTCAGATTATGTGGTAGTGTTGGATACAAAATCACCTCCTTTGAGGAACGCCACAATCACCCGATGCTCTCATCCTTCTCGAGACCCTTTTTGAAGATCAATCGGAATGTTGACATTGGACACAAGAAATTCATGCTAAATTGTTCCAAAGCAAATATCGGCACAATGAAATCATTTCGATTGTTTAAGGAGTCAGTTGGCGGTTATAATAACATAGGCGCCACAGCAATTGATTTCAATAACTTCAAACGAGACCTTAAGGCATATGTTGCGGGTGGAGATGCACAAATGATCATCGACAAAATGTTTCGAAGACAAGAAACATGTCCTGCATTTCGTTTTGCATATGATGTTGATGAAACGGACCAACTTACCCGACTATTTTGGTGCGATCCCGTTGCTAGGAAAAACTGGGTTCTGTTTGGGGACGTTTTCTCTTTCGATGCTACGTATGAGACTAACAGGTGTGCTTACATGTATAGCTTTTTTGTAACACTAATCATTTTATGACAATGCCAATTTGAATACAATTTTAATCCAATCACACTTTGTTCTTTAAAATGATAGGTACAACATGGTGTTCACTCCATTCACAGGCGTGGATAATCACCAGAAGTGTGTTACATTTGGAGCTGGTTTACTCTGCAACGAAGACATAGAATCCTATACTTGGATCTTTCGCCAATTTCAGGATGCAATGGACCATGATCCACAGTGCATCATAACAGACCAAGATCCCTCATTGACGACTGCTATCAGCGAAGTTTTCCCACAGACAACACACAGGTATTGCATGTGGCATATTACTAAAAAAGTAGGGAAAAAGTGGGGGAACCGCTAAACAAGGATTCCGTCTTTCTCACACAATTGAATGACGTTATCTGGAGCCATTATCTAGACCCACGCAATTTTGAGCACAAATGGAATGAGGCAATGCATAATTACAATCTGGTGAATCACAAATGGTTTGTTAAGTTGTTTAACATTCGCCAAACGTGCATCCCAGCATATTTTAGAGACCAATTCATGGCTGGTTTACTACGAACAACTTCACGATCTGAAAGTGAGAACAGCTTCTTCGGGGAGTTCTCTAACCCCCATTTCAGTCTCGTAGAGTTCTCGATGCAGTTTGAAAGTGCCATGGATGCACAACGCCACAGGAATGCTAAGTTAAATGCAGATTCTGAATCCTGCACTCCTGTGTTCAAGACTCCGTTGCCAATTGAGAGGCATGCCGCTGCCATATATACGTTGTCAGTATTTTATGATGTGCAAAAAGAGATTTGTGCTGCATGTTTCTCGTGTTTTAGCACACATGTTGAGAACATCGATGATAAACTGCACTACACGATTAAGGACAATAGAGGTATGACGTTCTCAATTATGTACTCCGCAGATAATTCATACGCATCATGTTCATGCAAGCATTATCAGCGCGTTGGGCTTCTCTATAGGCATATATTTGTTGTTCTTATAGCAATGGGATGTCCCACTATTCCTGACAATTACGTTACAAAGCGATGGTGTAAGATTGACATAGCAAAACGTTATCTTGGATCTGTCTCGTGTGGCATTGAAGGGGATTCAAATCAAGAGAATACTAGATGGAAGATAAACCATTTGTGGGCTAACATCCATGCGTGTGTTGCACTTGCGGAGAATGATTCTGAGTTGTTAGATGCATTTACCCAAGTTATTAAAACACAGAAACAAAACCTCGAGAGATCGGCCTATTCTGGAGATTCAGAACCAGAAAAGAACAAGATTTTTGAATCTTACTATGGCACATCGGCACCATCCGAGATTCGTGTTTTACCTCCCGAGAAGGTGCATAACAAGGGCAGTGGAAAACGCATCAAAAGTGCCGTAGAAATAAGCATGGAGCAGTCCAAAAAACAAAAAAGAGAGTATGCCGAACATGCAAAGAAGTTGGTTACCACGACAGTCGAAACTGCCCAATGAATAAGGGGCTATGATAATCTTATTTCTGGATGCAACATTGTACCACTTTATTTTTTTCTCTAAATCTTCATGTACTCCTTCATCTTCATGCACATCTCACTACATTTTACATTTCTCACAGTTATTAGCGCATTAACCCATCATTACTATATCATAATTCGCCAATCTCAATACATACACCTGGCTTTGCAAATACTCCCCCTACAACCTTTTGACATGATAATGACACACAACAAATTCAACTATCTTTGTGTATCAGGGCACTGCTTAATGTATATACACGTTATGTGATCACATATTTACCAAATATATATTGCATAATGTAATCGGCATGTATAAATGTCTCATTCAACAAAATCATCTGCTTCTTAGAATACCCCAGTAAACATATCATCAATTCCTACTAGGATGAACTCCACTGTTGAGTTCAAAATAAAATACACGGCAATTAAAGAATTACCAAGGGTAGTGCATAATTTAGAGCATTAAACACATCTGTCACGTAAACAAGATCATCCTACCACTACTAACGCATGCATACGTCCAAAAACATCATACCCATGTCATGTGAAGGAATGGCTCCTCCCCCAAAAAACAAATCAACCAAAAAACACAAAAACCCTTAGTTCTC